GCCAAAAGGGGTGTAATAACATTATCGGGACGTACCTGTCTTTTTATATAAAAGAACGAAAGAGAAATTCTGTTTTGTGTATACGTATCTACTGACAACCCTCGTGTTTTAAAGCCCATGCTTTCATCTCTCTCACCCCCCCCCTTTTTTTTTCCAGAGTGTTGTGATGTGAGAAAATTCATTGAAATTTCATTCATTTACCTTTCCCGTCCAAGTCACTTAAAATAGATTTAAAACATTGGATTATAAGATAAATGTTTTTTAAAGCCCATGCTTTTATCTCTCTCCCCCCCCCCCCTTTTTTTTTTCCAGAGTGTTGTGATGTGAGAAAATTCATTGAAATTTCATTCATTTACCTTTCCCGTCCAAGTCACTTAAAATAGATTTAAAACATTGGATTATAAGATAAATGTTATATTCTGAAAATAAAAGGACACTACCAACAAAGTAACATTAAAAACAATTTTCATCTGTTCACTGATCCTTTGCTGTGATATTTTCTTTATTATATACAATAACATTTTTAACATTTTCATAGCCCTCTCCTGGAAGGAAAAAAATAAAAACATATAAATAACTTGACTAACAGCTGTCTTTTTTTTAAATTTAAATTTATTTTCATCACTTTACATACAAATATATTCATAAATATCAAGGCAGCTTTAAAAAATGTCTTACTAACAACAAGAGACTTGGAGATCGTTTTTAAACAAAAAAAGAGTTATTTCTTATCTTCCAACCTTTAAAAAAAATCCCTACGATAATTGCTCGTAATGTTAAAAAACTGCACATGATTGGGAAACAATTTTTAACGCAATCTGCTGTTGTGGACTCAAATGATTGTGTTATACCTAGTCTTCAAAATATTTTAAAAAGTATACTTCATTACCAGACCTGTTTACCCCAATCCATTAAAATCGTACAATATCACCACAAAATCATTTATATATGTTATATTAATAGTCAAAAATAAACATACAATATATGTATATATATATATATATATATAATGTATACACCTCAAAATATCCTACATTGTACGCTAAAATCGTTAGAGTAAACAGGTCTGAATTGCCTATTTCTAAGCAAATAATTGTAAAAAATCAACTTACCCGTCTTATCTACTGCGTTATATGGATGTTCATTTGGTAGTATGGGATCTACGTGATCATAAAGACGGCTTGTTGTATCACGTGGTTGTAGTGGAGTTTTTCGTCGTCTTTTGAACCAAATGTATAGAGCAATACAAATGATGACATCAGCAGCTATCATAACACCAATTCCTATACCAATCCCACTGGCAAGTCCATTATTGTATCCTGTTTATTAAAACGATTTGAAAGAGCTAAATGATAATGTTACAAACCTGTTTATGGATTTAAAGATCTATTTCGTTTACAAATAAATAGATGTCTTATTACTAGACTGTACATAACAGGATCTGAAATGAAGCCACGCACTGAGGAAATTCAAAAAATTATACCAAAGTTAGTAAGTAAACAATACACTATTTAGTCTTATTCCTTAGAAAAAAGAAAAACTCAATGTTCTAGGAAATTCAAGACCTAGTACATTATAAATGTTGATACAATATAAAACAGACCCCAAGCCACATATAATTGTACACGAATTCTAGGACCAAACGGGTTACACATTCGAAATATAAGAGATGCTTCCTTGCTGGTTAGATATCTATACATGGGAAAATACTCTTCATTTGGTTTGAGAACACAGTTAACCAGAAAAATGTACAGCACCTGGTGACACACTACAAAAACAAGTGGAAGTAAAACTAGCCAGAATAATGACAATCCAACTTCATACTGTGCAAAAGGTTTATACCAATGTTCTGATGATTCATCAGGATACCATCTGATTACAAACGACAAGAGACATGGTAGTAGATGGATTTACATAGAGGTCACTTTCTCTAAGCTATGAAAAACTAGAGAGTTCCAAAACACAAGAAGAGCCCAAATTAGAGGTCCATTAGCCACAGCATAGGCAACTACTAATGCCTCCTTATTATCTGGTGCAAGCCAGATGTAAAGGAACCAGTAGGTATTGGCAAAATAGCAGAAATCCAACAGAAAATACTGATATTTCATCTTCCAGTACATTATAAGCATTAGTATTAACAAAAAAAGGTGTTGTTATAGAATAATAGTAGGATAAAATCCACTTCACAGTGAGTACGAAGTGAGATATTGCTACAATTGCAACCACTGTCAACACATATACCAGTTTGCTTTGCAGGCGGTGATTTTTCAGCACCTTAAAAAATGATTTGACATCAGGTTCCTGTCTACTAGTTGGTGCCACAGTGATCTGTGTGACAGTATCATATAAGTCATGGATATGCTTTAATGAAAACCTTTGAAAGGGTACTCCTTTGGTTGGTGAACAATCTTTCACATCACTGACTGACTTCTGAGGAGCTGAGCTGTTATCAAAACGTCTCTCACTCCAGCATCAACACCATTTTGTTGCTGCATCAGAGGAAAGCCAACCCTTTGACTAGTGAACTTGATTTTTAAAGACTGTGAAGGTGATTGATTCTGATCCAGCTTAACTAGAAATTCTGGTGTTACTGTGGCCATGACAAATCGACCTATTTTAAGTTTATTTGAGTTTTTTCATGTCGTTTCTTGTTCAAAACATATTTTACTAAAATCATCTTTTTTATTGCTGCTCAATTACATCTAAAAATTGTCCATTTGATAGATTATCCTGCTTTGTACTATGTTGGCGAGGACATTTAAGCCATATCTAGTTTGTCAGGCAGCCCCAAATCAATTTTAAGTCGGGATAAATATTTGAAAACATCCATTCCCAACATGAAGACACACAACAAACGCACGCTCTCCACTGTCAGCCTCTTTCTGGAATGTCTAGAACAATTTCGACTAAACTTTGTAAGCCAGAGTCTGCAATGGCTTATATTTATTTCTATGTAAAAAAGCGGCTTAGAAATGGCTACACCACTAAAGGAAACTCTAAAGATTCTTGATTTGTTTTTTCTGATCTTTTGTGACTGAGAGGGAAGGGGAAAGAAATGTAAACAAACTTACTCCAGTTCAACGCGCAAAAAAAAAAAAGACAAAGTTGTGGTAGAGAACTAATGCTATCATAGACTAGTCAACGTTTGGAAACACAAAGAGAAGTAAACTGACAATCGTGATTAAAGTAATGTCATAAGCAACATGAAGGAACATATTTTTTTTTACGATACGGCTGTACCAAATCACAAGGTAAATATTATAATACAATTTATACTTGTAAGAAATGTAGATAAATAAGTAGGGATGTATCAATAGAGATACACCGACATAGAGACAGGCACATAAATAGACTCATAGAAAGACACAAAATCGGACATAAAAAAGAGAGGCAAACATGTAGACATACGGACAGAAAGATAGACCAATAGACACCTACATACATGCGGCCACATAGCCAGATATACAAACGGACAGAAACACTAAAGATAAGACGGATAGACTTGTAGACCATCGGATTGGTGACAGATGAATGGATTAATAAAAAGAAAGATGGATGGTAAATGATGAAATAGATGTTTCGTTAAAATATATAATTTAATGATTAATAAAATTTCTTTATAAAAGGGTTTTGATAAATACCTGCTGTGTAGTCCAAAGGACTTGTAGCTAATAAATGGGAAAACGTATATTTTAAAATTCACATGCAATCACAATAACAATTTTACATTTGAAAACACAAATTCCTTTCTACATTATAGAACTATTTCATTCAAACAAAAGAAGACACTTTTTCAAAACATATACTATGATATACCTAAGTCATTTACAGGAAAAGATGATTATTTTGGAAACTAAATCTCTTTCAACTGCAAATAAAAATTCATGAAATAACTTATTTTACATGTTAACTATTATGACCGACACTATTTTGGTAATGTGACTGAACATGATCAAAAGCTTAATTTACCCATGGTCAGCTAATTTGCAAGTCATACAATAATAAATATTAGTAGAGTTTGCATTTGCTCACTAACTTACTTTGGAAACTTAGTTGTTGCAATATTCAAACAGGTGCGTAGAAAGCGGGGTCATTGAGCGGCAGAACGCCCAGGGCGCAAAAGCTATCCTTTTTATAGGGTGGTGATATTTTTGTCCAACTCAGGAGATATTTTCGTGAAAGTTGGGTGGCAAAATTATCGGCCCTCCCCTAATGAAACTAACATTTTTCTATGCCTATGTATTTATCATAGTGAGTTGCAAAGACTAGTAGTTTATTTTTAAATCTTGTAATAACATTACAATTTGTTGGTGTAAATTTCCTTACATTCCCTATTTATAAGTTTGGATCATAATTTTTATTTTTAGTTATAACTAAGGCATCATGAAATTTGGAAATATGTCGCCCAGCAGCCATAGCATATTTCTTGGGGATAAAAAAAGCTTTGAAGAAAGGACTTTGTTCATATCAAAAGTTAAGTCTTTCCATATTCGCAATAAGGAGGAGGAATTTGACGCAACAAACGTTGTCCAGGATTGTGTTCCCTACAAACTAGACACAGAAAACAAGCTTTTTGGCCTCTATAAGACTGATGTGTTACAACTAAATAAAGCCTGTGAAAGTTGAAGAATGCTTATTTACGGCCGGAAGTCACAGCAATTTCAATGGGAAATCGTGATATAATTTTATATAAATTATCTGACACTACTTACGATCATAAAAAGACTGTTAAAACATCAAAAATAAATTTTTAAAAACCTAATTTAAATATAATTTTAGTTATTGATGCGTGTTTTTTATTACCAATAATATATCATTATAACAAATGAGTCAGTTGTATATTATTAACACAATAAGAGGATACATCAAACAAAAAAGTGAGAAACAAAATGTCCCAACTCTCATATAGCATTATAAATAAAGAACCGAGACATATAAATAAGAAAGGTAGAAATTTGATTAACATGTTTAAATTCCTTACCATCTAGACATTGTGTATTGTTGAAATCACCGTCACATCCATGGTCACAGATCCCATTGACAAAGTTACAGGTTTTGTTGAGACAGTGGTGACTGCAGCGCTTTAGACACTTGCTTCCCCATGTCAGTGTCGGACACACTAATAAAATAGTTGTTTAAACGTTTTAAGGTTTAAAAAATGTAATTTTTTATTTTTTTTGAGTCAGTCGCCATGTCTGTTTTTCTTTATTGATACCTTTCTAGTCATTTAACAACCTTTCTATTAAGTATATATTGTATTCTAACATATTTTTGTGTGTGTAATTCCTATAATTGTCTGTTTGAAGTAGTAACATAAAACAGAGTCAGTCCAATAACAAATTTAAAAGACATCAGGTTATTGGCTAAGATAGGGTCACCCGGAGCGGTAAGCTCATTGTGTCACTCTCCCCTCCCTAATGCTACCTTGATTGATTTTAACTTGTTAAAATAAGTCCACAGCATAACAACGACAACAACCATGCCACAATATTTGAAGGTCAGGAGGTAAATGTATTTAAGAACTGTGACATGTACTTATGATCGCCTAATCACATGGTATTTGGCATCAATGGAAAGCTTCATGTTGCAGAATTTATATAAATATTGGTTCAAGTCACTTTCGGAATTTACCGAACATTTCAATCGGCGTTGAATTATCGTCAAAGTGGTGTTTTTCTTACCTAATTATAGGGTCACCTCAGCACGAATCTTTAACTTTTTATAACTTTTTAAAACATTTAGATTGGTTACATGTTTGTAAAATTGATGTGTATCGGTTAGACCGAGGCGTGAGTGCTCTCTAAATATTCACTTTTTCACTTAGGTGGCACCTTCCATGAGATGATGTCACCCGGTGCCTAACCCCCCACCCGCATCCCCTAGTTACGCCACTGCAACATGACATACTTTCACAGTTTAGGTTATTTTAAACGTCTCTGTAATTTAGTTTTTCAGATTTGCTCCTTTCTAAGATCTTTATTTCATACAACGAATGTCATAATTTTACTCGTAGATCTATATTAAGTTTAATTATTATGTTTTTTAAAATGTCAATGCAGTAAAGATCAGTCTTAGTTGGCTAAAATATGAAGTAATTGCTGTTAATGGCAACCATATCTGTTTACATTATAGTTGATATCATCAAAAGCAATTTCAAAAGGGTTTTGAGAAGTTTACTATCAATACAGTTAAATAATTTGTTAAATTTCGATCTACAACCAAAAATCATAGAGATAATTCATTTGCAAACAATAGTCAATGAACTGTTTCTTTTTTAATTTTCAAAATGCCTTTATTCTAATGTTTTTTTTCCCTCCATAGCTTGTTCCGGTTATACGACATATATATATAATGTGACATTTGCTGATNATATATATATATATATATATATATATATATATATATATATACATGTATATGTATATATATATATAAGTTAATATTTTTGATTAACTATAAATAAAATAAGGCCTTGTTTTGCTTTTTATAATTATTTTGAATTACACTTATAACTGCTGACATATCTTTCAAATATCCAGGATTATATCCACTATCACTTCTACAATTAGTTACATTACAAGTGTTGTCCAAACAGAGATCCCTGCAGTTATATTGACAGTCTTTGCCAAAGCTGGGCATGCTGTCAGGGAAAATAATGCAGTATACTAAATTATACTAGTCGCATTTTTTTATTTAAGATTAATATTAATACAAGTTTTAAGGATCAATTTTAGGGATATTATATATACAATGTACTTTCTTCAGATATGCAATTCGCATAGTTGAATGTTTTTTTTATCATATCAGCATATTTTTATTTTTTAAATTAATTAATACAATTAAGTTTCATACCATTTATAGCCAAAGTTTTAATTTTCTACCATTTAAAAAAAAAAATAAACTGAGTTTTAAAATTATTTAAAAAAATAAACGACAATAATTACAAAAAAATTTGTAACTGTTCGAGATATATCCATCTTTACATCCATCAATGCACTCCTACACCATTCATGCGATTGCGTCAAACTTTGGTCAGTTGTTGTCCACATAACCGGCATTTTGACTGAGTCATTACAATCCTTATAAAATGTTCTCTTTTCAGCCGTTGGCTCTTAATTTAATTTTTTTTTTCTAATCTGAGCTTTGTAACAAATAATTTCCATATGCGCTCCTACGCCATTTATCCGGTTCCGATAAAACTTTGGTAAGATGTTGCGAGCATGCCCGCAAAGCTTTTTAAACTATTACAACCGTTTTAAAATATTCCATTTTGAGCCAAGGACCCTATGTTCGTTTTTTTCTAATATTAGCTATATAGACATATATTTTCCCACCAAGTGCGCTACTACATCATTCATGCGATTGCGACAAAACTTTGGTGAGTTTTTTTCCATATGATCGCGCATTTTACTGAGTCATTACAAAACTTTTAAAATGTTCCGTTTTTTGCCATTGTACATAACTTCATATTTTTTATTATAAGAGCTTAGTAAAAATTAATTTCCGTGTGCGGTCCCATACAATTTTTCAAAATGCGATAAAACTATTGTGAGATATTGTGCAATCGCCACAAAGGGTTTCTAAATTATTACAATCGTTTTACAATATTTTGTTTTTAGCCAGGGGCCCTATGTTCCTATTTTCGAATATGAGCTAATAAAAATTGTTTAAAACCGTATGCACTCCTACACAATTCAAGCGATTACGATACAACTGAGGTGAGTTGTTGTCCTCAAGCCGGATTATTTTTCTAAGTGATAATAACCGAAGACTACAGGGGAAAACCCACAGTTGTCCACTTTTTCTATTTTTGAGATAAATGAAATTTTGTGTTTGAAGACTTCAGGAGCATTTGATTTTAAAGATTTCTATTTGAAAGAATTTTTTAATGAAAATGGATTCAATCCCTGATATATAGATGTAATGATTTAGTTACTGAGCCAACATACATCTTCACAATATGCATTTATAACCAAGACATCCATTTTGGACATCAGTTGTTTTTCCCTGGCAATCCTGCACACTTAAATAATTCAAATAGTAAAGACATTCAAAGCACACACTATTTATTAAGACTTTTTCTTATGCAAGCAAACACAGAACTTCTGTCAGTCTGTTAAGATTCTGATGATTCTGAGTCAGAGTCTGATCTTTCCTCTTGGTCTGATTCCTGGCTGCTGAGGTCATCTTGAGGCAGTTGCTCGAAGAACGGTTTATTTCGCTCACTCACAAAATCTTTCAACTTTGATAAGTCTTTAAATTTTGCACTGGAGAGGGGCAGAGGAGCTGTGTAGGCTTGCCTTGGATAATCACATAACTGAGCCACATGGGCTGCTTGAGTCTGCTTTCTGCCTCTTGCTGCACGACCGGATGCTCTAGCCTGTCGGGGAGTAACAGGCATAGAGCTGAAAGGTCCATTCCAGCTGTCCTTGTACATAATGAGGTGAGGATGACCCTTTGAGATCTGAATCTCTCTAAGCGAGCGGGTCTGGAAAGGACATACTGCCAAAAAATGTGGTTTAAGAAATTCTGTGAATTTCAAAAACATGTCACTTGTCATATTGATGACATTGTATGGCTCTGGTTTTGTACGTGTGGTCTGCAAAACATTCCTCCAGTCTGCTGGTGTTTCTGCTGGAAACTTTTGATTTACATTGGCCATATCTCTATCACATTCCATATAGGAATGTCCTCGAACTGGAAATGACATTGTGATGTTGTCAAATCGCTCTGTTTTATGAACTAGATAATATAAAAAACCTAATACAGTCCTGTTTTTGTTTTGCCCAGCACAAGAATCACAAAACAACTTGATCTGTTTCACTTCATGTGGCAGCTGTGAAATAATCATGGAGCATTGAGCACACGTCATCGGAGCCATTCTTGCCCACAGTCTCATCATAGCAATAGAAATAAACTTTTTGGGATGAAAGGCATGGATGTTGAAGGAGTAGAATGACAGCTGTCTGGAGTAGTATACATCCTGCGTTGAAATGTTGGGGCATGGTACATTTTTTTGGAAATCAAAGCAGATTGCCTCAAAGTCATTTGAGCGTTGTACTTCAAATCGAGCAGCTCTTTTCCTCTGGTAGAACACTTCAGCTTTCCTCTGGTGGAGCTCAAGCGAAACATTTAACTCGTTCTTCTGGCTTAATAATGTGTTTTCACCATCAGACTCGACAGGTAGGCCTACTTGACTGTCTACCCATTCCATTTTTTTCTTTATTTTGTCACATACTGAACAAGTGTCTTTCCTTGGATACCCAAATGAAATGTTAAATTTGCTGTTGAAAATACCACGATAGCTTTCGTATGAGCATTTTTGATTCGGGTGTTTCTCCTTGAACATAGTATACATTTTAGAAATGTTCAAGTCCTCTGAAAGGTACAATCTGGTGGTCTTGTTTCTTGCATAATGTGAGGAACGTCCTCTAAATGACTGAATATGCTGAATGATCAGATCAACATCTACAGCAGAAAAAGCATGTGGTCTGATTTTATGTTGCCCTCGCATGTCTTTGCATGGCAAACCTAATTAGGAAAAACAAAATAATAATAAAATTTAATACAAAGAATAAGTTATGATATTTCTATTATTTAATATATTTATTTATTTATAAACATTTCTATTATTATTATCATCTTTTCTCTCGTATTCTAGATTAAAATATATTTAAAAAAACAGAGGACATAATGTTAAGATTATGAGTCTTTTGCCCAGATGTAACATGTACAAGTACAATACTTAGTTTTACTAAGTTTTAGTTTTAAGTTAAAGGCTTAACTTTAACATAGTGGCAGTGGCTTCTTTTGTTCTATATCAGTAATATCAAAAATGATTATCATTTATTAAAGAAAGTCTTTACATACTTTCCATTAATAAAAAGTGGTTGGTTTAAATTAAAACAAAATCAGTTAACCCACCTGTGGCTGCTAGGCTTTCCCTGATTCTCCTGACACGGTTTTCTGTCACATCAAATATAGATATAAATCCCTTGACACACACATCAATTCGAGTGCATCTACCATCTCTAACAATATTCATATGGTATTTATAAGAATGGTTGTGAAATTCTGCCTCTGTTGGCTCTTCCTTTCTGCTACGGCGACGCTGAACTGAATGAACTGAAATGAGCGAGGCAAGGAATGCATCCTGCTCATCTTTTGTTTTCAACGAATTGAAATGGGAAATCATCTTTGACCTGTCATCTTCGGTAGTAATCTGGAAGCATTTTAGCACCTTACAGTTACAAGGTGGCCCTGTAACATGATTTCTTAACTTCTCATCTCGAGAAAACTCTCTTTTTCGTCCAGTAACTTGTTTTTTCTTCGGCTTATCTGTGACGATCGGTTTATCTACAACATCCGCCATGTTTGTTGTTTGCAATGTTGCTAGCCGGTCACGTGACTTTTCTCTAGATTCTCATTGGTTTGTACCAAAATAACTTGGACAGCTGTGACTTTTCCTTTGTAAACATTGGACATCGGTTGTTATTCCATTGTAGCCTATTTTTAAATACCTCAATAACGGGTGACTACGGTGGGTTTTCGCTTGTATATTTTCAGAGGTCATAGTTAAGCACCAGTACTCGATGAAAGGGACGCAAACGCGAAAATGTGTAAAATTGGACAACTGTGGTTTTTCCCCTGTAGTCTTCCAGACTAACGACCATTCTAAAATATTCCGTTTTGCGCAGTTGGCCCCAATTTCGTTTTTTTTCTCCATATTCCAGCTTTGTAAAAAAAATAATAATAATAATTCGGTATGCGCTCCTCTACCATTTATTAGAATGGGATAAAAGTTAGAGAGATTGTGTACGCACGCCCGCAAATGTTTCTTAAATTATTATAACAATTTGAGAATATTCCGTTTTTAGCCAAGGGCCCTATGCTTGTTTTTTCCTATATATGATATATAACTATAATTTCAAACAGTATAAATTTGCAATGCTTGTAATGCAGTGCCCTCAAATTGAAGAATGAAGCATTTGTAAATTTGCTGTGCTGATGGGAAAGTGAAATTGCCAGAATTACATGTTCTGCCCGAACCATTATCAACGTTTCTATCAGGTGACACATTGATCAATACTTATTAGAAATCGTCACCAAAAACAATATTTACGGTCCATGTGGCTTACGCAAAGAAAATTCACCATGCATGTCTGATGGGAAATGTACAAAACGATACCCAAGAGATTTAATTACGGAGACTATCACAGGCAATGATGCCTATCCACTGTATCGTCGACGATCAACTGATGATGGTGGTAAATCACTCACTATAAAAAGTACGAAACAGTAATGTTGAAGTCGATAATCGTTGGGTTGTACCGTATTTAGCGCTACTCTCGAAAACTTTCAAAGCACACATCAATGTCGAGTATTGCAATTCTGTAAAATTGATCACGCTCGTTTGCAAATATGTTATCAAAGGAAGCGATGTGGCAGTTTTTGAAGTGGAAAAAATAACTGGATCAATCATATAAAGTCTACAATAATCAACTTGGACGCTACATTATCAGCAATGAAGCAGTACGGCGCATTTTATCATTTTCAATCCATGAACGCCATTCAACAGCTGCTCATTCAGCAGTGCACCTTGAAAACGGACAGCGATGTACTTCACAACAGAAAATGCTCGTGTAAGAGCAGTGTAACCTCCGATAAAAACATTAAATGCATTTTTCTCATTGTGCGGGAATAATATTTTTTGCAAAGACGCTACTTTACTCTCAAGTGTCAACATATTACACATGTAATACATCAGAGAAAAGCTTTCAACGTCGCAAACAAGTTAAAGCATTTGAAGAACACCACAATTTATATTTTGCCGACACATTAGGCCGTCTGTACACTGTTAACCCAAACAATGCAGAATGATTTTACTTGCAGTTACTGTAATCAAGGTACGTGGACCAAAATCCTTCCAAGAAATGAGAACGGTAAACGTTGAAGTATTATCCACTTATCGTGAAGCTTGCCAAGAATTAAAACTTCTGGGAAACGATGCTCATCGGGACACTTCGCTCTCTGATGCATCGAATGTTCCTCAACCACAGAAAATAAGCCTTGTGTTCACAATCATATTGACAACGTACATCCCATCCAATCCGAAAGATCTTTGGGAGAAATATAAAGACTACATTAGTGAAGACATCCTGCATTGTTTGCGTGCAACGAATCAAAATCCGAACATTAAATTTACACCAAACGTGTATAACGAGGCATCGGTTTTGATTTATGACATATGTTTGGCAATCTCTAACAAAGCACTTGTAGAGTTGGGAATGAATTCTCCGAATCAATCTGCAAACAACCTTTCCATCGTGATTTGCAACGAGAACCGCACGTTTAAATAGAAGAATTAGGTACATTTGTTCAAATGAATCTTTCGATTTTCGTTCCCCCGAACTACTCAGTCTGTATGACAGACTTATGCATGCAATTACCAGTCAAAGCAGTGGATTATATATCCTAGATGCGCTCGGAGGCACGGTCAAAACTTCCCTAATTTCACTTATTTGGCAACCATACGATCACTAAAAAATATTGCACTTGCAATCGCATCATCTTGAATTGCTGCAACTCTTTTGGATGGTGGCTGAACAGCGCTTTCAGCATTGAAAGTGCCGATGAATATGCAAATCACTGAGACACCAACATGCAATATAAACAGAAATTCTGGAATTTGTAAAGTTCTCCAATCATGTCAACTCATTATATGGGACTAATGCACTATGGAAGCGTTCCTTCTTACACTAAATGATTTAAGAGGAAATTAACAGCTTTTCGGTGGCGCACTTATTTTATCTTCTGATTATTTTCGACAAACTCTACCAGTTAGACCACGTTTAACAGCTGCTGATGAATTCAATGCATGTCTCAAATCATCAGTTTTATGGTGACATGTACAGAAAACCAATATGCGTGTAAAACTACACAATGATGCATCCGCTGAACGTTTTGCAAAAAAATTCTTGGACATTGGGAATGAAAAAATGGTAATCAATGAATACACACAATGGTTTACACCGCACACAACCCTCTGTACATTTACGCCAATCATCGACGAAATATTTCATAAAATGTTTCCCAACAGTGCACAAATTTACATACATAAAGAAATGGCTCAGTACACGTGGTATATTAGCAGCCAAAAACAACGCTGTCAATGTCATCAACTTAAGCGTTCAAAGTGAAATCCCCCGACGAAACGCCATCGTATAAATCCATCAATTATCCAACAGAATTCTTCAATTCACTTGTCTTGCAAGGCAATCTGTCGCAAGATTTAACACTGAATATTGGCGTGCCTATCATACTTTCACGAAACATGAATCCACCACGACTTTGCAACGGTACCAAGCTTTCAATAGAAACAATGATGAACAATATCATTGCAGCTACTGTTTTAAAGTACAATTGAAAGTAGAAGATGTACTGTTGCCAAGCATCCCAATGATTCCACAAGATGTGCCATTTGAATTCAAACGTCTTCACTTTCCAGTGTCACTCGCATTAGCAATTACCATCAATAAGGCACAGGGACAATCACGACACGTTTTCGGACTAAATTTGGAAAAAATATGCTTTTCCGATGGACAGATTAAAAACACACGTACAGTTTATGTCAATATAACAATATTAGTTAAGCTTTGATAATAATTGTCCATAATACGTTTTGGCACATGCCTTCATTAGTAAAACACAAATTTTTTTAAAAATAATTATACATTAATTTTACATAATATATTTCTACATATATTCCACCTAAAAATGGGAACAAATGGAAGTGTGTGAAAAAAAAACAGACAGAAACAAAATAAAGAAGAATTGAAAGGATCTGACTTGTAAAATGTAAAAAAAAAACAGGAAAAAAGACATTGAAGTTACGTAAAATTGTGGTTCTGGTTTATCTCGTATGGAGTCAACGTACCAAATTTTCGTTAGAAAACCTTGTGATTTATTTGTGTATGCACCAGACGGAAAACCAAAACAAAACATTTTGTATTCAAAAGCTCTTCAAGAAACATAGTTAAAACATAGTTAAAATGCGAACACTTTCTGTCTTTGAGAGACATTGCGGCGCATGCCGGGTACTCGCTAGTTTTTCTTATAAAAAGAACAAGTTTATATATTAAAAGATAGTTTTATGAATATTTTGTCAACAAAATTATAACCAAAATGTTAAAAGAAATAAAATTCGTGTGCTTTTTACTTAAGTGTAATTTCAAAACGATAGGTTACTTTCATTGACGTAACAATAAAAGCATTGCAGTCTGCTTCTTGTGTGGGTCGGAGTGGCTTATAAGAAGCATTTTTATGTATAAAAGCAGTTTTATGATTAAGTTGTAAATTGATTGACAGATTGTGTAAATATTAATATTAGCCTGTCATTGTCAGATCCTGCCTTGTTGTGTGTACGGAGGAAAGAGGTTTAATGAAAATAATTATTTGATTCAAAAACACCATTTATTTAACCCAGTTTCTGTAAAGGTCATATAAATATTTTGACATCAAACTTCTCTCTTCCTAGATCAACCATCCCTTCTCCCCTTCGTGTACTTAGCTGTCGATGTCGTAAATTCCCCCCCCCCAACACTGTCCTTATTTGTAGAGGTCATATCTTTCCCCATTACGTCTTTAGCTAAAGATGTTCTAAATTTCACCACCTTATCTCAACTCCAAAAGTGCAACTTTTTCTCACACTGTCCTTATTTGTAGAGGTCATATCTTTCCCCATTACGTCTTTAGCTGAAGATGCTCTAAATTTCACCACCTTATCTCAACTCCAAAAGTGCAACTTTTTCTCTAAAATAATCCCTCTCTTTTAAGCTTATTGGTGTTATTTAATCTGAATCTACTAATGATTAATGCGAACAAAAAAAAAACTCCAATATATTTCTTCTAACAATATGGTTTAATAAATAGCCCTACAGTTTCACTCTAGTTAAGCTGTGTGCGTGTTAAAAATATATGTTTAGAAATCTCAAACTGTTGATAATAGTGGCGCTTAATTTTAAAAGGGCAAAATCTTATTGCATATATTGTGTTTCTTACTACTCACTTTGATCACACGTGTGGCTATTATATCCAATTTCACATCCATCATCACAGGTGCCATCACTTTTATCACATGTCTTATCAGCACAGTGACTGCTGCAGTTGTTGGAGCATTTAGAGCCCCAGGTGAATTTTGGACATTCTGGTTGTATGATTATTTTTTTTTTAAATAGATTAATAATTCAAATCTATTATTTTTTCTTATAATTTTTACACCCGCTAACACAAAAATACTTTAATAAGTGTTTTATGAGTTTATGAAAAAAAACATTTTGCTTAAATATTAAACAATATTTTGACAGTAACAAATATATATATAATAAATACGAGATTTGTAATCCGGCGATCCTGCCGTTTTGACTTTCATATAACTTAGTAGAATTTAATTTTTACATATTTTTTTTTCTTACTTTAAAAAATCTAATTATCCATACAACGTTTTATCACTTGATCAGTTTTTGTTGGTACTTTCGACTAGACTTTTTTTTTATTTCTTATGTTTATGTGATCGAAGTTTCCAAAAGATCAGCTATAAATGACTTTGGATTATATTTTTAAATATTGAAAAAAAAATTTAAAGATCGAAGATCACAACAAATATGTTTTGACACCACAACACAGATGTTTAAACACCTTACCTTCATTGCACGTGTCGCCCGTGTACCCATCTGTACATCCAGACAGACAGACGCCGTTGGTGATGTTGCACGACTTATTGAAACATTGGGGACTGCACTGATGTGAGCAATCTTTGCCCCGTGTAAAACTTGAACATTCTTAGGAATAAAGATGTTATCTTCAGTTACCCACATTTGTAAATATTTTCAGATATATCGTATTAAACTATTTATGATTAATTAGACAAAACTTGAGAGAAAAAGTGTAATAAATTAATTAAAGTAATGTCTTGAGATCAAAATGTTGATAGTTAAGATTAATGTGTGCGTATTGTTTGTGAGAGTATTACATTTTAAAAAATGGATAGAAAGACAAAGTTGGATAAGATGAAAAGAAAGAATAAGAATGAATACACTATCAACTATATATATAAAAATTTTAATTAAAAAATTTAGTTCAAAGAGGTAGTTGATATTTGGACCTTGTCCTATATGTAATTCACTTACCATCATTACATGTTTTACCCTTGTATCCATCCTCACATCCCAGGTCACATATCCCTTGGAATCTGTCACATGTCTTATTTTTGCAATGAATACATTGGTTAATACAGTCCACGCCCCATCTGCCCTGGGAACAATCTGACAATCATTTATGAACAATTTATACAACCATAAACTAATTATTGACAAATTATTATTTTTAATAATTGAAAAAATATACATATAACTTCTGAGTTGATAACATATTAAATCTCTATTGCATCACATCCGAGAAAAATAAACGTGAACTTTTTAGACGCTGTGTTAAAAAAATCGACTTAGCAGAAAATTTTAAAATGTAATACACAATGAATAACATTATAAGCGTTTGTTTGTATTCTTCAAGATTGGTTTAGCAAAAACTCTCTAACGGCGTATTCAATGCTAATGAGACATAGTCACACTGTTTTACTTGTCTTTTTCAAATATTATTTTTGTTCTTGGTAATAGTGTGGTCTTGAATTTATTTTAATATGTAATTTAAAATTAACACTTTTATACTACACCGATGGAGATTGTAACTGACTTTGCGTCGTATATTGTATCAACTTAAACCTGAAATCTGCCTTCATTATAATTAATTTTTAGGGTGTACAAACAATTAGACGCCATTTTGATTGGATTGCATGGTATGTTCACCAAAAGTGTAACTTTCAAAAAATTGGGTCCGGACGAGAGAGTGAGTTCGACGCTGCGCAACTCTTCCTCACTTTAAATAAAATCACCGCCGCAAGTCATTCAACACTCCTGATCCAAAATCCTGTTGCGACGGGTTAGCGACAAAGTGTGAGGCGTTGTGCACTGTGAGTCGTAGCCGCAAGCATGCACACATGCGACTCAGGCTATAGGGTCTTTCTTCACTGATAGGAGCAGAAGTTGAGTTGGGCAGCCACCTGAGAGTCTGAGCAGCCTATTCAGGATAGCACTGCTCACCCCCATCCTAGAAGGGAGGGGCTAGAAAAGGTGCCCTAAATTTTACCTGCACTTTTACACCTTAGCCTTCTAAACACGGTCGGGAGCCTCATTTATGCAGTTGAAAAACAAAGACAAAGTCGATTTCACATGAAATTATCAAATGGAACATCCGTAACCTGCTTACAAGAGACACTACAAACAGACCTCATCAACACATGGCGCTTATTTTCCATTAACTTGACAGATACAACATAGACATCGTCGCCCTGAGTGAAATCTGACTATCTGGCAAAGGCGAACTCCCAGAAAGGCTTGCTGGCTTTTCTTTGTTCTGAAATGGATGTGCCCTGAGACAAGGCGAGAAGTTTGAGTTGGCTTTGCTTTCAAAACCTCTCTTCCAAGCATGCTCTCCAGCTCTCCAAAAGGTATCAATGATCGTATCATGACGATAAAACTTCCCGTCTGCATGGAAAGAAGGCTGCAACTATTTTCAGTACACATGCACCCATCATGAAAAGCATAGAAGAGACCATAGATACGTTTTATGAAGACCTTGACACTATCATCTCCTCAACACCGACTGCTGACAAACTCATCATTCTTGGAGATTTCAATGGAGATGTCTACAGTAACAGCACCTCCTGGCGGGAGTGATGGGTAGACATGGTATTAGAGACACAAAAGACATACGGAACTTCTATAGTGTCCTGAAAGAAATATATGATGTTACCACCTTAGTCTTTCCCTTATTCTTAGTGCAGACGGTTCTACACTCATCATAGACAAGAACAAAATCTACGAAAGATGGTTGTAACGTATTAATAGTGTCCTGTGTACGCATTCCGTCATTAATGATGAGGCCATTGAAATTCTGCCCCAGATCCCAACAAAAAAGTCACTGGACGCTGTCCCATCTTTGGTCGAGATACAGACAGCCATCCGCACCTGTGCAGTGGAAAAGCACCTGGCTGCGACATGATTCCTACCGAAATCTGCAAAGAAGCCGGACCAGTGCTTGCGGATAAGCTAATGCGTTTATTCCAGACCATGTGGCAGCCGGAAAATGTACCACAGGACCTAAAAGATGCCTCAATTATCCACATGTACAAACACATATGAAACGACTAGGCATGCTACAATAACCGCGGAATTTCACTGCTGCTCATCACAGGTAAGATGTAGGCCCTACCCCTACTGAACCGCCTTAGTCAAATGTAGAGCTAGGTCTTCATTGTAAAAGTCAATGCGTTATCGCAAAGAACGCGGAAGTATCGACATGGTGTTTGCTGCCAGGCAGCTCCAATAGAAATGTCAGGACATAAATTCAGACCTATATTTTACATTTATTCACTTGAAAAAGGCTTTTTGCAGGGTCAATGGAGGTGGCCTGAGGAAAATCATGAAGAAGTAAGGAAGCCCATAAAAGTTTACCGACATCATCAGTCAGCTGTATGATACCATGATGGCGCGAGCGCAGGACAAAAGTGAGTCATCTCAAGCATTAACCGTTACAAACGGTGTGAAGCAAGACTGCGTCCTGGCTCCGACACTCTTCGGTATTATGTATTTTGCAAATCTGTCTCATGCTTTCAAGGACTCCACCATAGGCTCCCCATGCGGTTCCAAACCGAATGATCAGTCTTCAACCATAAGAAGCTTTAGGCTAAAACCAAGATCTGACCAAACACCACCAGCGATCGTCTGTTTGCGGATGATTGTTCCCTCAACGCTGCCTCAGACGCTGACATGTTAAAAAGCGTTGATATCTTCTCTGAAGCCAAAAGCATTTACGGCCTCACAATCAACACACAGAAGACTAAAGTGATGTATAAGCCAGCTCCCAGTAAGTGCTTTTATGAACCTAGCATAACCATCATTGGACAGAGTCTACATGTTGTGTAAACATTTAAATACGTGGAAAGCACCCTATCCAGATATGTCTTCATTGAAGACAAAATGAATGCCAGGCTTGGAAAAAAAAAAGTGCAACTGTTGTCAGACTCCACAAAACTTTTTTGCTCAGGAGAGTTATCGGACGCAAAACAGAGATCAAGGTTTATAGCGCAGCAGTCCTCTCGACGTTGCTCTACGTATGTGAAACATAGACATTAGATAGTGATTTCTCGTGGTCTATTCTTGGTGCTTTGGAGAGTTTGGCCAAAATCCATATATCCCAAAAGATGCAATATAAACAGATTGTTCTAATCAGCTAAAAGGGTCGTTCAAGTTAATAATTTCTGTAGACATTTTTTTCAGAATGTTGAACTTTTAAAAAAATTCATTAAAGTAGGGTTTCAGTTGCACTTTTGTTTAATTCACGCATTTCAAATAAAGCTTTATTCATTGTTCAAAGAACATTATCAAAACAAAATTGAAACAACGTTTTTAACAAAATCATATTCTTTAAATATACTGACATACGTCCTGTGCCATTCTAAGAAACTAAAGTTTATTTCATTCTATCAGAGGTTGAACATTAGCTCAGCCTTATCAAATATTTCAGGGGCTTGCGTTATACGGGCTCTTGCATTTATAAGGATTTACTGTTGTGTGGATTTTTTGATTAATGTTTAATACTACCTTCATATGGTAATGCGTTTCGGGGAAGAGAGAATCACAAATGTGTGATGCAGCCCACAACTCAACATTAAGTAAAACTACGTAGCTGAATCGGTGAGTGCATGTTATCAGTGTAGCGATTAGCGATGTCTCAAAGACACAATTCAATTCGCTTCACACGGAACAGTTTTACCCACTGTAAATCTCTCCATTTTAATTAAGTTATTTACATACTTTATATTCATTATAAGTTTCTTAAATGCGTCACACAATAATACTCTGTCTAGAGTTACAATTAACAACGTTGCAACACACCAAACAATATTCTCCAATAAATATTATTTTACAATGATGCTCTCCAGATAAACATGTTTAAAGTGTAAAGATAAACAGGATGTGACGTCCTTCATTTCATTCCTAGAATTAACAGATGTTTCGGGTGTTTTGTTTGTTTTTCGCT